ACTGTCCTCCCGTTGTTCAGATCCCTTATGTTCTCGACAACTCCTGTAGGTTTCAATTGAGAAGTACTCAACTGAATCCTTATTATCCTTATGAACTAAGACCTATGAGTATAACAGGAATGCAGGTCACTGTACCAAAATTAAGTTCACATTCTATAACCATTTTGGTGAGCTTGACATCGACACAGAAGACCAACCAAGCTGGCTTAGTCTTGCCAATAAGGGAAAGGATAAAACATCATGCCCAAAACTGTTTAGGGAAGAATTTTGTATTTTAAAACTACTTAAATATTCATTGTGACCCTTCACTTCTTTCTTCCAGAAATTACCCAGAGAGGGGCTGAGAAGTAATGTTCCCTTTCTGGATAGAGCTGTATTCAATGACCAGACTGACTTACTATGTTGTGTATGATGCAGAAGGAGGTAGGAAATGGAGCCAGAAATATTTTTTAATTTAACTTTTTAATTCTGAAATAATTTTAGATGCATGTTCAGTTGAATGTAAAAAGGGGCCAGGGACAAAACTCTAGCCTTGCATGAGTGAGGTTCTGGGTTTAATTCTGGTACTGCAAAAGAAGAAGTGAAAAAAAAAAAAACACCAAGAGACCTTTCTTGTGCTCTTTAACTCTTTAACCAGTTCCCTTAGTTTTGAGAAAATATAGTTTTGCAACAACATGGAGACTCAGAACACCCAATCAATACAGAGAGTCCTTATTTGCTCTTTGAGAGTCACACTCAATTCCCTCCCTTCCCCCATCTCTATTTTTTTTCAGTTGTAGTTTGGACTTTTATTTATTGAATCACCATGAGATAAACATTTGCAAAGTTGTTTATGATTGGGTTTCAGTCATACAATGCTCCCACACCTCTCCCTTCACCAGTGTACATTTCCCACCACCAATGTCCCCAGTTTCCCTCCCAACCCTGCCCTCTTCCAGTCTGCAGGCACCTTTCTCTTTCTCTCTCTCTCTCTCTCTCTCTCTCTCTCTCTCTCTCTCTTGCTCGCTCTCTTGCTCGCAAGTGTGCGCTCTCATTTTGGGCATTATGGTTTGCAATACAAGTATTAAAAGGTTATCATATATATCTCTCTGCCTACTTTCTGCACTTATTATTATCTTATTATCTCATTCCTACTTTGGACAAACTGGCAGGCTACCGAAATGTAACCTGCCCACACGGCAGAGTCTGGCAAACTCTCCATGGCGTACCCAATATGCCAAATACCAGTAACAATGATGGGTCTCATTCTCCTAACTCTGAAAGAACCTTGAATATGGCACTTTTTAAAAAATCTTAGGGCTAGGATGAAGGAGACATTACTGGGGCCTGCTCGAGGCAATTGACGAATACTTTCAGCACTCAATTCTTGTCTAGAGTGATCATCTCCAACCATCATTGTCACAGTGGTCTCTTTCCTAACCTAACTGTCCCTCCTTTCCCCATACATGCATTTGTCATAAGCTTCAAACCATGGGTCAGTCCTCCTGGCCCTCATTTCTACTATCTTTGGGTATTAGTCTCATATTATGTTTCTTAACCCCGCACAAATGAGTACAATCATTTTGCCTGTCTCTCTCCTTCTGACTCGTTTCACTCAGCATGATACTCTCCATGACCATTCATTTATAAGCAAATTTCATCACTTCAATTTTCCTGGTAGGTGTGTAGTATTCCACTGTATAGATGTATCATATTTTCCTTATCAAGTTATCTGTTCTCTGGTGCTTGGGTTGTTTCCAGATTCTGGCTATTATAAATAGTGCCGCAATGAACATAGAAATATACATGGCTTTTCTGCATTGTTGATATTGCTGGGTCAGATGAAAGCTTAATTTCTAGTTTTTTGAGGAATGGCCATATTGTTTTCCAAAAAAGTCTGGCCCGGTTGGCATCATGGCAGCCTCTAATTTTAACATTTTTATAATTTAGTCTCTTCAAAGATACCATGGAGCGATAGCACAGCGGGTAGGGCGTCTGCCTTGCATGCAGTCAACATGGCCGACCCGAGTTCGATTCCTCCACCCCTCTCGGAGAGCCCAGCAAGCTACCGAGAGTATTTGATATGCCAGACACAGTAACAACAAAGTCTCCAATGGAGACGTTATTGGGTCCGCTTGAGCAAACCATATAAATAAAATCACAATATTTTTCTGGAAAGCATCCAACCTTTTACACTATGTATAACAAGCATGCTGAGACCACTCTCCACATGCATGAAGGTACCGGCAGAGGAATGGGGGTATGTGGGTCTCAGTGCTGAGATCTCCAAGCCTGCTCGGATCTTATTATCTCATTTTTACTTTGGACAACCTGGCAGGCTACTGAATGTAACCTGCCCACACGGCAGAATCTGGCAAACTCCCCGTGGCATACCCAATATGCCAAATACCAGTAACAATGATGGGTCTCATTCTCCTAACCCTGAAAGAGCCTTGAATATGACACTTTATAATCTCAGGGCTAGGACAAAGGAGACGTTACTGGTGCCTGCTCGAGGCAATCGACGAACAACAGGATGATTGTGATTGTGATAGAATTTTATGGATACTTTTTTCTTTTAAATTGCAAAAATTCCTCTCTACATCTATTTTTATGTTTTGAACCCATAGAGTTCTCAGGATGCCTGGGAAATTCTCATTGAACCAGACTGACAGTTCAATGCAAGGACCCGAAGATGTGGTGCTGCTCAGGCCCTACAGTACCAGGAATTCCCTGGGTCACCTTAGGTGTGTTCAGGGGCCTGCATAACCGTAACTAGAGGTGCTGGCGGGGGCGTCGCCAGGGCTATCCCTATGACACCTGGGGGACCATGTACTGTTAGGAATAGAACCGTCAGCCACACAGAAATCATGCACTTTAACCGATTCTAGCTTCTGGCTCCGTTCCCGAGTGTTTTCTTTTTTCTTCCCAGGGGTGATTTGGGTTTTGGGGACACACCTGGTGATGCTCAGCAGCTGTTCCTAACTCTGTGTTCAAGAGTACCCTCTGAGAATAGAGATAGTACTGGGGATCTGACTGGGCTGGGCTGTAGGGTAGGCTGTGCCTTACCTTTTTTTACTATCCTCTGACCTTATTCTATTGATCACATCAAAGAACTAACATTTCATTTCACCTCATTATAGACTCTTAAGACTCTTAGCCTTTGTTGGCGTGGGTTCTTTTTCTGTGGCATTTGGAGTAAGTGGTTGTGGCCTATATTTTTAGTCTTATTAAGCTCCTCTTTTCTGGTTGTTTGACTAGAGGGAACAAATGTTTGTTGGTTCCATGTCTGGGTCAATGAAGGAAAAAGAAAATTTTTGTAACTCGCCATCATGAGAACTTTCCTTCCTTCCTTCCTTCCTTCCTTCCTTCCTTCCTTCCTTCCTTCCTTCCTTCCTCCCTCCCTCCCTCCCTCCCTCCCACTCTCCGTACCTCCCTTCCTCCCTCCCTCCGTACCTCCCCCCCTCCCTTCCTTCCTTCCTTCCTTTCTTTCTTTCTTTCTTTCTTTCTTTCTTTCTTTCTTCTCATTGAGTTTCTTGAAATCAAAAAAAAATTCTTCAGTAATACAAGGGAACCTAGAAACAGGTTCTCCCGCTTGTTCCCTCTTCTCCCAGTCAAGTCTTCAGATGAGAATGTAGCCTGGAGGACCTTGATTACTACTCGTGAGATCCTTAATACGGATCCAGATCAGCCATGCCTAGATTCCTGACCATCAAAAACCTTGCTGTAATAAATGAGTGGTGTTTCAAATCACTTTATTAGGACAATATGTTTCATAGCAATAGACAACAGATGTACCAACCCACTGGACGTGCTGTGTGTGGTAGAACCCTGAACATCAGGAGATAGAAACACTTACAATAAATTCTAAGCCATCCACTCCTGGCAAATCACAGGTATGTATATGTTCACAGAATGCAACATTGCAGACAGACCTCAGGGGCATGTTCGCATTGGTTTCTCTATCTTTGCAGTCTCGTCTGAACATGGAGATAATTACAACAGGTATTTCATTAGGTTCTAAAAAATTAAATATGATAATGCATGCAAAATTATTTGGGGCATGCCTGACTCTTTCCATTTGTGTGTCTTCCAATGAGTGTAGCCCTTGCAGTCTCAGTATTTTATGAGATACCTTTCCATCAATGTTTTATATTATAGTGGCGATTGATCTGCCATCCCCCTTCTCTCCACAAACTAATCAACTAATCAATCAACCTTTCACTACCAAAGCACTGTTTGGTAGTTTGGTGTCTAAATTGTCACAGTACCAAGCAACAATTCTCTCCCACCACAACTCTCACCACCCAACAACATCAAAATCCAGTCTTCCACAGCACTCCAGTATTACTGGACTTTTCTGCAAAAATATCACATTGATGGTTTTTACGAGGAGGTGCCCCTCCCCCAAAGACTAATTCTCTTCTTGAAGGAGTCGGTTCTTTAACTCTGCATTTCATCCCCCAGACAAAGTGGCGGAGACTGGCGTCCTGAGGCGTGGTTTGAACGTTCTTTGGGGGTGTGGGCCTTTCGGAACCCCCTTTACTCGGAAATTGCAGGGAAGTTAAGCGATCGCTGGGCGCGCCCGTGATTTTTCATCCCCCAAACAGATCACAGCCGTCCCACTGCAAGCAACCAGCCCTACTGCCTAAAAGGAGGGGCATAACGGGGGGGCGAGGGCAAGGGGCAAACCCTGGGTGTGGAAAAAACGCCCCCCAGCCCCTCCCTCCTCCTCGGGTCCGAGCCCCTCCCTGGCCCCAGGCTGCCGCAGCCAAGTGCCACATCAGCGCCAGCGCTGCGTTTTCAGGTTCTTTTCCAGGATGGAGCGAGCTGGCCCGGCGGGTGGGGGCGGGCCCGAGTTCGCTGGAATGACGGGCCGACTGGCCAATAGACAGCCCGCCAGAAGCCACGGCTACCAATAAGCGGGAGTTTTGGGTTGCCGCGGTCGCCCAGGCTCCTGCCCCGCGGGGGAACCCGGAGAGGCACATCTGGACAGCTGCGCTGTGTAGCCGCTTGGTGGACCGGACGTCAGCTGAGCACGTCCCCCACGTCTCTCCTCCTAGCCACTTATTACTTGTTCATTTCCACCCCCCCAAAGAAGCTACCAGGGATCCAAGTTTGAAACTTTTCCCTCCTTCGTGCCCGATCTCCTCTAACAGTTTAATTTTCATGGGGCTCGGGGATCAAAGGAACAGCACCAGCAACAACAAAAGCCCGACGCTGTCTGATGTAAAACTGGCAAAGTGGGGGGAAAAGTCTTGAGTAAACAGACGGAGTTGGGTAAGTTTTGGATACGTGCTGACTATCGGATTTCTCCGGCTGCGATCTCTATCCTGGGTCTTTTCGCTTTTGACTAGACTTTTACTAGATCTAGGGGAGGAAAACACCGCTTGCTAACTCAGACTCGCACAGACCCTGGGTTTTCTTTTCTTCTGCTTTGCGAACGTCTGAATGTAAGATTTGGGCATCAGTGTATGCTGTGTAAACATTTCTCGGGATCAGACGGAAATTTAGCAGATAATGTTGTAAGCCTTTCCTGACTTCAAAATTGACCCTCCCGAAACTTTTGTATTCTATTTTTCTTTCTGGGCAAACCCAGTATTTATCTTCTCTTGCTCACTGTTTTCGGTAGAAGACTGGGGAAATTATTCGGTTTAATCAGCAGTAACAAAACTTGCTTCCGCTAATACCACGTTTACTGTGAACTTATTTAAACATGAATTATATTGGCGATTGCTGTTGAACTTCCTTTTGATTGCAGTTGTAACACAAATATGTTCTTTCCATAGTGGCGGTCCAATGTTCTCTAATGAGTGTTAAAAAACATAGTAAACACACGACAGAAAATTGCATCAATACTCTTGTAATTGCATTCATAATTCTGCAGTCTAGAAAAATAGTGTTCTGATTGCTACCTATTTATGCTTGTGGATGATTCTGGTATATACCTAGGAGTGCTTTTATTGTTTGTTTTCTTTCTTTTGGGACCACACCCGCGGGCCTCTGGCCTTTTCCTACTCAGTGCTCACGTGGGCCAGGTAAATCTCAGGAGCTTCTGGAGGACCATGTGGTCCTGGAAATCAACCCTGAGCACCAGCATGCAGAGCACGTGTTCGTCTCCTCTGAGCTGTCTCCTCCCCGCTGTATTTCAGGATTTGAAAACAGAAACGATGGCTAAAATAGTGTTCAGGTGAGAGGGTAGGGTCGGTGAAGATATCACAGAGATGCTGATGGGAAAGAGAGGTTTGGGAGGTAGCTTGATGAGGGGACAGTGAGCTCAACTGACAGAGATACACAGGGCGGATATTTCTGGAATGCTCCATCTCTACAGTTGAGGCTCCATCTCCTGCCCAGCGTACCTGCCCTTGTGCTTGATTGATTCTGTGACATTCCCTTCAGCCTTGTAGACTGTATGGGCAGGTCTGAGCGGTGAATCTGAGCCTCACTCTTTCCTCTCTGTGGTGGTGATTTGGACCTTTGTTGAAGTGGTCTGCCACTCTGGGTTTTCTGTGTGTCTGTTTTCAAAAAGGGGCCTTTTTCCTGAAATCTTTTTTTTTTTTGGTTCTTTTTGAGTCATATCCGGCGATGCTCAGGGGTTACTCCTGGTTCTGCACTCAGGAATCACCCCTGGCGGTGCTCAGGGGACCATATGGGATGCTAGGAATTGAACCTGGGTTGGGCGCGTGCAAGGTAAATGCTCTACCCGCTGTGCTATCGCTCCAGCCCCTTTCCTGAAATCTTTGACATGGGCAGATTGTTTTCTCCCTCCCTGCCTCCATACACACAGTGTGTGTGCAGAATTGTTTTTGTCTTACCCTCTGAGACAATACTGAGATTCACGAATTTGTAATTTATAATGATTGAAGTAGGTAAAACCTGAAATAAGCACCTGAGACCGGAGTTATTTCAGAGATAAGGGCATTGAGCTGTGTCAGAGAACTCGGGTCTGGCCCTGGTATTGTCAGTGACCACCTGCATGATTTCAGACCACACATCGTGCTGTCATGTCATTTGTAAATTGATCACTAAGATCCCTTTTCTCTTGGATAAACGTTTTTTTTGTTTCATTTTTTTTTTTTATCCCATCACTCCTAGGATAGTCTGTTGCTTGTAGAAGGTTATTTGGTACAAGGTTATTTGGTACATTTAGCTAACACTTTTCACCAGTTGATTCATAGCTTACATTTTAAGTGCTTTATATGTCTCAGTTTAGGTAAGCCTAGCAGTTACTATATGTAGGTTAGTTTCTATTTTTTTAAATAGAAATTCTCTCTCTCTCTTTCTCTCTCTGCCTCTTTCTCTCTCTCTCTCTCTCTCTCTCTCTCTCTCTCTCTCTCTCTCTCTCTCTCTCTCTCTCTCTCTCTCCTGGACTTGAGTTTCTGTTGTTGAGGAGGCAGGGCCTCAGACAGTTTTAAAAATCGCCCAAGGTTACAAATGCAGTGAATAACACATTTGCAGGTCACTGTGACTCCAGAGCAAAGCCTTTACTACCAGTCTTTTTTGTTTTAGGTGTAGGACAGCTGCTCTTCGTGATTGTGGTGGTAGTAATCAAGAAGTGTGAAGAAAGTGGATTGTTTGAAGTGGAGGGAACAGTGGGGGAAACATGTTGGTAAATTTTTGATCTGCAAAACTAAGGGGGTTGAAGGGCTTCTGAGGGTAGAGGGAACGAGCAGATAATTACAACTATAATTATAATTATTCAGCCTTGGAAGAGGGAGATGGGTACACTGGTGATGGGTACAGTGGTGATGGTGCAGTCACGTGACGTCATATGTTATTGGACTTAAGTACATACGAAACCATCATTAGCAGTATTGTAAATCACAGTGCCTCAGGAATAAAAAAAATTCCCTGGAGAGATCAGAAACTAGACCCAATAACGTTGTTGTCTGGGCAGTTTGCATCAGTATAGAAAGGAGGAATAGAGACATGTTAGTTCCTGGCCTTATTGTGGATATTCAGTGAAAGTCTATCGAATGATTCTCTTTGGAAAAACTGAAACAGACTCTATGAGTCAAAAGTAACCAATTCCTCTTTATTTATCCGCTTTCTTCTCAATTTATTACCATCTCTGGAGAAAACATTTGTTAAAAGTTAGGATTATATTTTTCTCCTCCTCCAAGAATCCTCTCACAGATATAGATTTAAAAAATCATTTAATAAATGAGACCATTCATATTTTAATCTCAATGTTTTAAATAGATTTTTTTAAATTAAAAAAATTGGGAAACAATGAAGTGTTTTCAGGCTTGTGGAAAAATAGAGCAGGTACCAAGTAAATATTCTACTCATATTTTTTTTTTCATTTTTTATAATTTTATTTATTGAATCACCGTGAGAGCAGTTACAAAGCTTTTGGGTCTAAGTCTCAGTCATGCAATGAAACACCCGTACCTTCACCAGTACCCATTCTCCATCACCAAAAACCCCAGTATACCCCCATCCCACACCCATCCCCTACCTGTGGGGCAGATGATTTCCACATTACTCTCTCTCTACTTTGATCACATTCAATATTTCGACACCAGACCCACCATTATTATTTGAGATTTTACCCCAACATTCAGATCTGCTGAAAAGACAACAGTAGACAATTTGTGTTCTATTGCTGGTTATGAATAATATGACGTCACGTGACTGCAGTAGGACCATGTGATTTTGAAATTCTGAAATTTTAACACTTAAATCTGGAGGCATTTCTGCCAAAAACCAATGGTTTAGAGATTTGCTCCTGAGTCTCTGGGATCATGGCCATTGAGCAGCTTGATCAGGAGCCAGAGAGGCCATTCGTGGGCGATAACTTGGGGTCTCATTGCGGTGGGGAGACCAAGACCGGCTCCACCCCCATCCTGTGAGGCCCAACAAGTTTCGCCACTGCAGGCCCAGACCTGACTGTCCAATGGCCTCTGGAGGATGATGGCCACTGAGCCGCCAAGGGGGAGCAGGCGGAGGGACAACACCCTTCCCCCCCTGGGGTGGCCCGGCGACAGTAACCTACTGTGTGGTGGACGCATTTCTGCCAAAAGCCGCTGGGTTTCAAGATTTATTTCTGAGTCTCTGGGATCAAGGCCATTAAGCAGCTTGGTCAGGAGCCAGAGAGGCCGTTCGTGGGCAATGACTTGGGGTCTAGGGGTGGGGAGGACAGGCCCGGCTCCCCCCACATCCCGTGAGGCCCAACAAGTTATGTCACTGTGGACCCAAGCCTGACTGTCCAATGGCCTCTGGAGGATGATGGCCACCAAGCTACCAAGGGGGAGCTGGCGGAGTGACAACACCCTTTCCTCCCTGGGGTGGCCCGGCGACAGTATTGTACTGTGTGGTCCAGATGCACTTCTGCCAAAAGCCACTGGGTTTCAAGATTTGTTTCTGAGTCTCTGGGATCATGGCCGTTAAGCAGCTTGATCAGGAGCCAGAAAGGGTGTTCGTGGGAGATGACTTGGGGTCTCGTTGTGTTGGGGAGGACAGGACTGGCTCCACCCCCATCCCGTGAGGCCCTGCGTGTCTTGTCACTGGGGGCCCAAACCTGACTGTCCAGTGGCCTCTGTGGAATGGCAGTCACTGGGCCGCGGGGGGAAATAGGCCAAGGCACGAAACCTATTTCCACCTGGGTTGGCTCAGCACTGGTAACCTACTGCAGGGATCGGACGCATTTCTGCCAAAAGCCACTGGGTTTCGAGATTTGTTTCTGAGTCTCTGGGATCATGGCCATTAAGCAGTTCAATCAGGAACCAGAGAGGCCATGCCTCCAATTATATAGCTGAGCCGGAGGTGGTTTGTGGGTGTGTTTCCCACATACCTAACTTTTGACCGTTTACTCTCTTGGTAAACTTTGCCCCAAGTTTTTGGGGTCTGGCCAAAGGCACAGCAGATACGAATCTTTCTTTCTTTCTTTCTTTCTTTCTTTCTTTCTTTCTTTCTTTCTTTCTTTCTTTCTTTCTTTTTCACTTTGGGTCACACCTGGTGATGCACAGGGGTTACTCCTGGCTCATGCACTCAGGAATTACTCCTGGCGAATGCTCGGGGTACCATATGGGATGCTGGGAATCAAACCCGGGTCTGCCGCGTGCAAGGCAAATGCCATACCAGCTGTGATATCGCTCCAGCCCCACTTCTCATATTTCTTGAGCATCCTGGTTTCTTGTCTTATTTCCGGAGATACTGTGGTTTTCAATTAAGAACTACTCTTATAGGTGTCCTGTTATTAATCACACCTAATCTGGTTTTGACATCTTTTGGGGAAATTCATTCTTTAACTTTTAACATGTTAAATCCAGTTAAAA